GTCACATTGCTCCTGGAAAGACCCCTAGTAGGCCTTTCTGATTAAGGCTTCCCTGGGAAGTCACTGGAAACATGGGAGGCTGCAGACTGCTGGAGAGAGAATTGCACAGGAGGACCATCTTGTCTCTAAGTGCAAGGACGCCATACCCTCCAAGAATGTATCCCACATTCTCTTCTCCCTTGAATTTGTAAAATAAATCCTCTTAAATTCAGTGGGAATGCTAGTAGAACAATGCAGGGAAACGTTTGCCTGGATCCTGAGAGCAAAGTATCTTGTTTACTTCCATAATTAATTGATGTGTGAGCTCGGTTTACCTACTGTAGACATATGCCCTAGAACAGCCCTTTGGCCACCCAGTAGACTTCCAGAAGTAGGCTTCAGTTTGCATGATGTGCACAAGACCACATCTGGAAGGCTAGCCGGTTGGCCAAAGTGGCGGCTTTTACTTACATTGAATCAAAGAACATGATCACATGAAGCACTGCTGTGTTTCAGCATAATTGGATATGTATTTTTAAGCTAATCACGGTAGTTTTAGGTTATCTGGTAGCACTACCAAGATTATGGAAGCTGTGAGAAGAACACAGTTAGGGTAGGCCACTCATGACATCCACTTTCTTTGGCTACCTATTTCAAAGCATGAGCAGTAGCTGATGTTACTGGCAAAGCTGGGGTTAACTATAAAGTTAAGAGAACTTTTTCCCCCCAGAACTGGCCCCTTTCTGCAAGGCCCAGTTTCCAGAGCTATATAGGAACCAGGAAGCTCTGATTGCCTCCTGAGTCACAGCCTGATGGGAAAGATGGTCCACAATTCTGGCATACAAGATATGACATTTTTTATAGCTCAAAGCAAAACGGGAAACTCTTCACTCAGCTGGCGCAAGCTGTGTGGCTACTGATTGCCAATTGCTTTGGTTGGTATGTGGCTACTCTACTTCAAGGTCCTGATCTGAGCACCTCCACCTGAGTATGTTTGAAGGTCGCCCTGAAGAAACTCATCCTTTGAAGCCAAGTTCTGGGGATGGTCAGCTTGTTAAACACCAGAGTGCCATCTAGTGGTCAAAATCATCAATTATATTGGCTGGCCACACCTGGAAAATTAAATGGGTACAATTTTGTGAAGCTGGACTTGATGCAGTTCACTTGATGCTGGGTCGGGGTTGGGGGAGCAGGCAGGAGGACCACACAGGGATGTCAGCACTATTGTAGCAAGGCAGGAGTGGAATTCTTTTGAGTTTACAAAAAAGCATGTTAAGCTAATCACAGCTCATATGCTGCTTTCTTTTGTAATGAACATAAACAGTGTCACCTGAATTTGGTGGCTACCAAATTTAGGCAGGTCATTATTGGGGGGGAGGAATGGAAGGAGGGGGACACTTTTTCTTCTGCAATAGACAAAACATCATGGTTTCCCCCTCCCATCCCGCTGCTCAGAAAGCAGGCAGTATTTTCCAGATGCATGATGGGAAGCTCACACGTGCTCAGCTTGCTGTTCCCAGGATTATGATGCTGCTCCTTTCAAAGTGCCCTGGCCAAGGTAGCTGATCAGAGAGAAAGTTGGTCCAGAAAGAATTAACAAGACTCTGTAACTTTGAATGGCTTTTATTCATCATGCAATAAGCCTTTAAAAATACCTTTGGGTGGGGTGAGTGGGGAAGTTGGAAATAAAGAAACCCATGGACAAAAGAGTGTGGTTTTCCGATCAGCTTACAATCTGTTACTTTCTCTTCCTCAGGCTGGATCTGCTGACCAACGTAGTAAACAATTGTTTGCTTTAAATGATGAGAAAAAACATCAGTTACTAGATTTCCCCCCCTTTTCTCTTACAGTGGAGTCTCACAACTTGATGATAAAGTCACCTTTTAAACCTGGCACAATGAATTTGATTGCATTTCAAAAGATGGAAATAATTAAAAAAAAAGGTTCCTTCACTTGACCTTCAATCAGTTGTCTCCAAAGGGGGAACTTACTCACTGTTGGTGCCCTTAATTCAGTGCAAGAGCACTACCTTTTGTGCACTCTCAAATGAAAGCTTCTCTTATTAAACAAAACTTGCCCATATGCATTATGCACCTTAATGTTTCTTTTATCCCACTGATCTTAGTGGAGGTAAAATTGAATGAACTAAGGGGAGATAAAAATGCATTTTAATAGCAAACACAGAGATTCTAGAAGAGGCTCTCTTCTGTGTTGGAAGTGTTGGTGCAGAAACCACTAACAGGCACAATTATAAAATGGCACCTTCTGTCTATGGAATTTGTAACTATTTTTAGAGCACGTCTGTGGGATGTAATAGTCCAATTCAAATATTTCTGTGGTTTCAATTGAAGGAATTTCCTTAATTACAAGAGTTTCTAATTTCTTTGGGTATGTGTGTGTATGTAAGCTGGCTGGGCGACTTTGGGCCTGTCACTTTCTCTCAGCCCAACTCACCTCACAGGGTTGTTGTGGGGAAAATAGAAGGAGGAAGGAGCATTAGATATGTTCGCCGCCTTGAGTTATTTATAAAAATAATAAAGGTGGGATAAAAAATCTAAAAAAAAATCAGTAAGACAGCAAGCAGAAACTGCTTTATATTAGACTAGCCAGCATGCAAACAATTTTACACTTTCAGAGGTGACTTCTATACTCTTTCAGACATTACATGCACATATGGATAAAATGTGGAGGCTGCGTTTGACATGCAGTGAGATATGGAAGCAAGACTGGCCCTTTCACTTCTTGCTCCCCTGCTAAAGAAATGGAACAGTCACCCTTGAGTTGATACATTTGGATGACATCTGGCCCACTGCACGCTTAGGTGGATCCCCGTATATAGGATAAGGTTGGTATTACACACTCTACGTGTAGTAAAATGGCACAAACATTTGAAGTCGATTCATCTATGTTCTACTTCAAAGAGAAGCAGTACTGGAGACTTCTAGAGACCAAGTATTTCTCTCCAATTGTCCACCTTTCCTATGAAGGTTCCAATGAAGAAAAGTATGTAAAAAATGTCAGTTTCTAGATTGAAAATAAAACAAAAAATCAGTGCCCAGTCCTTATGGAATGTTGAAGACAATGAAGTGACAGAAAATTGAGTATCCATTGAAATAACAATAGGAGAATGAGCTGTCTGAGCTGATGGGTTAGTAGGATCCTGCAGGGAGGACAGAAGCTGAAGAAACCATGCTTTATGGTATACGCATAATAGGGCTGTGCATACTTCAAAAATGATTCAGAAGCCAGCTTCAAAGCATTTCTTCAAAAGAGCTGCATTTTTCCAGATTTCTGAATGAGACTGAAAAAGGACATGACTATTTTAACGAACTGCATTAAAAATGCTGCAACTTTACAGTTGACTCATTCAAGTTTCATCAGAAAACTGAAAAAAGATAAAGACCAGTAAAGATGCTGTGTTCACATTGCTGCACTTTCTGAAACACCTCTCCAAAATCACATTTGAAGCATGCACAATTGTAACGTACATGCTACATTCACACAGTGGGGTTTCACTCTAGTAGCCCCACCAAATCTGCTATATGGCAAGGAAGTCCAGGAACAATATCTAATCCCAAAAGAAGAGATTTATGTCATATGTTCAAGTAATGCTTCCAAAACAATCATTCATTTTCACTTTATATGCTGAATTTCATGTATTTATATGCTCAAAAACTCACCTTATAAATACATAAGATTCTCTGTTTGCTATGGTTTTGCAACCCAACTGGCTGCCGATGAAGAATTTGTATGACTAGTCCTAACATATCCTGTTGAATCTTCAACAAATCTTTTTATTTTCAGTGTCACTCACAATAGCAATCCCACAAAGAGCTAATATGCATGATTGGTTAGTCATCAAAAATTCACAACTTCCTGGGCTAAATTCAGGCATATTAAAAATAAAAATCAATGGGAACTTAAAAGTCAAGAGTAACAGATTCCCTCCATTTTCAGTAGGAGCTCAGTGCAAATAATTTGATCTGAAATTACTTTGTAGATAATTTAAGACAACCAACAATACCATATACATTTGTGAAATAAGCTACATTTAAGAAGCCAGACACCATGATACAGCCTTTCAGAAATAAGTGTAATATGGAAAATGTGTCTCGCCAGCACTTAAAGGTGAACAACAAGATTTTCTCTTGTAGAGAACCCTTGGTTAACAATGATAATTGGGACTGGACTCTCCATTGCTAAGCAATGCAGCTGTAAAGCACGTCACGTGACTACAGTCAGGTCCAGAAATATTGGGACATCGACACAATTCTAACATCTTTGGCTCTA